ATTCATTCGTTCGCTTTGATGGTAAATTTGTAATAGCATATACTAGGAGGGCCAAACGCGCCATTAGTTTGCTTCTAAGTAACTAGCAGAAGAGGAATTTTTTGCAATCCTTGTAAGTGGGGGTTGTTTTTGATGGCGCGTAACTAATCATACTGCTTCAGAGTGTCTCAAGCAAAAATCCCAAGATTGCTTGGGCGCTTAGTATGATTGTATCGTGATACTGATGCTACTGGAATAAATAAACATAATGCATACGGTTTTTCCCTATCTGATTTTAAATTACTATTTTCGTACTAGACCCGCATTAGTGAGTGGTACCCGAGAGAAAGTAAATGACCGAAAAGATGGCGCAAATGTTCCGAACAGGCTATAGGTACTGCTAAAGGTATGCAGTCTACGATGGCAATAATTGCGCTCGGCGTGTGGGAACATTTCAATAATACCACTAACGTCGGATACACACATTGTTTGCTGGCCTCAGTACTTCTGGTGTTTTTGCATGCATTTTTCTTCTCACTCATTTAGCGCTCTTCACATTTCTGCAATCACTTGTTCAATTTCAGGATACTGTAACTCAATGCTCAATCCAATTATTTATTCATTCACTGTGAAAGAATACAAACGAACAGCACTCAAGATGGTGCTACCCCTTTGGAAGATTGCACATCGCTGTGTACCGCCGCTTGTACGTGCTCCACCGGAACATCTGACATCGAAATTTCTACGTAACGGTGCAAGAGCCGAACGTTTCAAGCCACGTGTTTACGCAAAACGTACTGTACGTATTCGTGTGCCGACCGTTCGAAATTCCTTCAAAAACCGGCGTCAAAAATCATCCGATGCAAAATCGGAGGAAACAACAACGACCGCTGTACTGAACGGAACAACATCTACTGAGGGAAACGCAATACCGGCAAAGGACTGGAGTAGCAGTGTGGATGGAGATACCATTGAACGTGAGGAAGAAGTGGACCAAGTGATCGAGGATCAGCAGCTGATACGAGCGCAGAACCTGGGAGACGATATTCGCAGCCGGGATACCTCGAAGAAGAACCTCCCAAAACCGTTCATATCGAAGAAAGGAAAGTTTAACAAAGCGAAACCACCATCTCTGTTGCCAGTTAAGGAGGAGGAAGCTTTTGCGCAAGTTACCGACCTGTAACAGCTGAATCCAGAAAGTGGCGCCCAGTGATAGGCCTGGAATTTAAGTCGGATCCAGAAAGAGGCATA